CCCTGCTATCTTTTAGGCTTCAGCTTAATGTCATCTACTCAGAGAGGCCTTTCCTCACCACCCTCATCCCATCCACTGTCACTCCATGTTTCTACACATTACATATTCCTTTCTTGGTGCCAATAGCCATCTATAGTTATTTCTGAGTCTGTTTATTTGCTCCTTGTCTGCCTTCTCTATCAGTGAATAAGCCACAAGAGGGCATAAGATTGGGTCTTTCTCTGTGCACAATGCCTGACACAGTGTGGGGACTTTATAAACATTTGTAGAAAGAATAAATATGTTGATAACAAGGGGTGGTAGAAACAGGGGAGGGAGGTGGGGAGGAATGGGGTGGTGGGGAGAGGTGAGGGGAAAAGACAGAAAACTGTACTTGAACAACAATAAAAAATGTTTAAAAAAAGTTTGAAAAAGTAAAAATATTCCTGTCTTGTCAACTGGCAAAAAAAAAGTGTGTGTGTGTGTGTGTGTGTGTGTGTGTGTGTGTAGAGCAGGACCAATAACATGGCATTGGTCCAGTCAAGATAGCATAAGGTCCCTGACTGGCGTAGCTCAGTGGATTGAGTGCGGGCTGTGAACCAAAGTGTTGCAGGTTCGATTCCCAGTCAGGGTACATGCCTGGGTTGCAGGCCATGACCCCCAGCAACTGCACATTGATGTTTCTCTCTCTCTTTCTCCCTCCCTTCCCTCTCTAAAAATAAATAAACAAAATCTTTTAAAAAATTAAAAAAAGAAAAAAAGAGAGCATAAGGTATATAAACCAAAGTGGAGTCACTCATGTCAACCAAGAAGGCTTCCAGTCATCCATGACATTTTGGTTCAAGAAGGAAACTACCTAAGTCAGATCAGAAACATCTGTCAAGGAGACCCACCTAAGGTATCTGCACACATGGACAGAACAGCTCTATCTGCAGAGTGAGTCCTCCTATAAATAGGCTCCTGGGGAAATTCCCCACATCACAGGTGCCAAGATCCTTACTGAGAGACCCAGAAGGGTGGAGTATATCACTTTTAAGGTATAACTGAGGCACACTTCAGACCACTGCTGAGGCAGCCGAGCTCCACACACCAGTGCACTGTTCCACACCATGCTGATCTCCTGTGGGATCGGCTGCCAAAGGCTCTGCCCTGCTGCACACCTGGCTGTAAAGATTCTTCTTTGCAAGATACTGATGGCTCCCTTGCCTACTGTGCTGTCTCCTCGACCTGCAGACTTAGACTCTGGGAATCAGTTTATTATTCCCCATTGATTGCTGTGTGTGTGTATGTTATATTCCTCTTAAACTGTTAGAATGTGAGTGAGTAGGATATTAATATATGTTAATGTTCTACTTTCAGTAACCCTACATTCAATAAAAAATAGAATAAATATGTTGAGTAATGAATATAGAGGGTTCATCACAGTGCTGGGAACCTGGTAAAGGACCCATGATAAAAATAGTAATATAATATGATTATAATAAAATAGACCACCATGTAAGCCTGGGCTTCATGTGACCATGAACTCTGGCCTTCACAAATGGCTGCTGGAGTGATGTGGAGGCTTTCCATCTAAGATTCAGTGCTCCACTGGCACTTATGTGACCCTCCTGCCTAATCACAGAAAAGAGCTGTACTGAAGATGCTGCCTCACTAAAATATGGAAATAACTATCTTGTGGCTGTTATTAAGCTCAAACTATCAACCACTCCAAATTTGTTTTTGCCATTTTATACAGCACAACATACATTTGTCAACTTTTCAAATGGTAAACACCACCTACAAAGTGCCTTTAATATTTAATATGACTATAGATTGTTTTGAAAATAAATCCAGCCATGTGGAAAAACAGCAGAAGGAATAGGAAACAAACCCAGGAACCTGCTCCTTGTGGGTCAGAGTGGTCACAGGTCTGAGATTCAGGTGGTGATTCTGATCATCCCTCGGCTGATCAGGAATGCTTCTTCTCCTCCATGAAGTACTGATTCTGAACTTAGAACTTGAATCTATAGAGGAGGAGGGGATAAGTATATGGGATCTGCCTTGAATGGAACCATCCTGGGGCAATGCTAATTAAGGTATAAAACCACTGCCCTGGTGGAAAAAGGGTTGTGAGCTCTTTTGGTCAAACAAGCTTTTAACCCATGACCAGCCACACTGTTCATTAACATGATGATGGAATTATGCATGGGCCTATTGTCTGGTCTATAATTTGCTCACAAGGTATTGCTTTTCTTACTTTGTGTGTCTCTCTCCATCCCTTCTCACACATTGGCATAGGGCCTCAGAAAAGTTACTGACTTGCTCTTTGTTTTTTTTGTCTTATTTTTCTCACAATGTAAACTTATGTTGCTAATAACATTGGTCACAAAAAAGGGTGAGTATATGTAGAGTGACTACAATAGTGCCTGGCATACACATATGTTTGCTGTGAATTTGCAGCTGCTGCTAATGATATCACACAACCCCCTCCTCTTGCCCTCTTCACTCCCCAGACAACTGCATCAGCTTCCCCAGTGCCTGCTGTGTCCCATCTCTCCCACCACCAGCCCTTTTCACCAGCTGTGTTCTCTGCCTGCAGCACTCTTCCTTCTTTTGTGTATCTAATTAACCCCTGTTTATCTCTCAGCCAGCAGCTCAATTAACTGAAACACTGCACTTTAAAGGAAAGGCAAGCTCTCTCCTTTTGCTGTCAAAGGGACTAGTTAAATCTTTGGAGCTAGAAGGGTGGGACTGAATTCTTATTAGCCCACACCTGGGTCATCTGTCCACTTGTGACTGGTGCCAGAGGACCAAATCAGCATACTTATCAAAAGCCCTATGGTGAAGAAGAAGAAAGCTGCTGTTCTTGGCAAACAAAGGCATCATTGTTCAAACATTGTCCCAGGACACACATACAATGCAATGTGTGTCTTAGGACAGTGGTCAGAAAAGCCAAATGAGTACTGCCAACTGATGGTCATGGGCATCAATTCAAACACCAGCAGGAATCCCCCAATTTGGGTTGCAATGAAGAAGAAAACTTTATTCAATGCAAACAGCTCAACTGTGATGTGGTACAGTGGTAAAACAGCTCTGGGGCCAGGTGGTCTCAATCCATTCCTCAGTTGTCTGTTTTGCTGTGCTCTAGCTGGACATCTTCTGCACTGTTTCAGCTAGGGATTCATAATCTTCCTTCTCTGATGGAAACAGAAAGTACATTCCCAGGGCCAGAGGACAGGAGTCCCTACTCCTGCTTCCCGATTGGTCTGTCCTCGTGAAAATAAGGGTTCCAAATCCTCAGTTTAATTGGCGCAAAAGCACTGTCCTGATTGGTCAGAATAGAGCCATTCTGAGCTGTGCAGCTCTGATTAGATGGGAAAAGACTCAATCTTATTAGTTGAAATAGAATTCCAGTGAACATTTATAAGTGCTGGCTCAGATAGCACAAACACTGTGCAGGCTGACAGTTTAGCACAGAGGCTTCTCCCTGAAGTACAGTTTGTGTGAAAGGTCTCTGTGCAAAAATGGCTGCCAAGCTCTGTTGTTGTTTTTTTTTAATCTGAGCCCAGTTAGCCACTAGAAGAAGGCTTAGCAGGGGTCTTACTTCTCAGGGTGCACAGAACGGACTGCAGTGAGTGACCAGTGAGGCAGCTTGTACTTTGGTCAAGGCTGGAAGGATGAGGACTGATGATCTGGGAGACATTTCAAAGGAAAGAAAAACAGACAGAAATATAGAGAGGAGGAGAATTCTGAGGCTTGTAACTTGGGTGAGAGAGTAGATGGTGGTATTTGGAAGGGTGAATGACAATATTCATGTATTACTGGCGACTTCATATGATTTAGATAATTATGCATGCATCTGAGATAATGACATCTAGCTCAGAGAGGGAAACTGCTTTGGAGGTAAAGCTGAAGCCCAAAGTCTCTCAACTTGTACCATTTAAGTGGGCTCATGCTGGTACTAATTCTACTAATTAGTAAAATGGTATAATCAACCTTACTCATTGCTTGGCCCCTCTGGCCAAATTTACAACTAACTCTATCACATTATGTCTTCTTGCTACCTTTTTTTTTTTAAATTATTCTATTGTTGTTCAATTACAGTTGTCTGTGCTTACCCCCCACCAATTCCCCCCATGCAAGCCAAATCCACCTCCCTCCCTTGCTTCCACCCTCCACCTTGGTTTTGTCCATGTGTTCTTTATAGTTGTTCCTGAAAACCCTTCTCCCCACTGACCCCTCCCACCTCCCCTCTGGTTACTGTGAGGTTATTCCTAATTTCAATGTCTCTGGTTATATTTTGCTTGCTTTTTTCTTTTGTAGATTAGGTTCCAGTTAAGGGTGGGATCATATGGTATTTGTCCCTTACCACTTGGCTTATTTCACTTAGCATAATGCTCTCCAGTTCCATCCACGCTGTTGAAAAGGGTAAGAGCTCCTTCTTTCCCTCTGCTGTGTAGTATTCGATTGTGTAAATGTATCATAGTTTTTTGATCCACTCATTTACTGATGGGCACTTAGGTTGCTTCCAGCACTTTGCTATTATAAATTGTGCTGCTATGAATATTGGGGTGCATAGGTTCTTTGGGAATGGTGTTTCAGGGTTCTTAGGATATAATCCCAGCAGTGGAACAGCCAGGTCAAAAGGCAGTTCCATTTTTAGTTTTCTGAGGAAATTCCATACTGTTTTCCACAGTGGCTGTACCACTCTGCATTCCAACTAACAGTGCACTAGTGTTCCCTTTTCTCCACATCCTCTCCAATACTTGTTTGTTGATTTGTTTATGATGGTCATTCTTACTAGTGTGAAGTGGTATCACTGTGGTTTGAATTTGCATCTCTCTGATGGCTAGTGATGCTGAGCATCTTTTCATGTGTCTCTGGGCCATCTGTATGTCCTCATGGAGAAATGTCTGTTCAAGACTTTTGCCCATTTTTTAACTGGGTTGTTTGCCTTCCTGGACAGAGTTGTGTGAGTTCTTTATATATTTTGGAGATCAAACCCTTGTCTGAGGTATCATTGACAAATATGTTTTCCCCAAAATATGGAATGCTTCACAGATTTGTGTGTCATCCTTGTGCAGGGGCCATGGTAATCTCTGTATCATTCCAATTTTAGTATATGGGCTGCTGAAGTGAGCATCCTCTTTTTCTTTCTGAGTATAGTGTGGGCCCATGTGCAAGTACCTCTGAATGTCTGTCCCTTGGCTCTTCACTCTTCCAATGACCATGATCCTTTGAATGAGAAGGTTGAGCCTCTTATTGAGCAATTTCATAATAGTCACTGCGTTATGGTAATGGCATGAGAATCCAGTAGACCCATGTGCAGGAAGATGTTCTCTTCTCTGCTTGTCAGTGTACCTAACAGGCTTCTCAGCATAGCATGCCCAGAAAGACTTCTTGGTTTTCCTTCCCAAACATCATACCCATCTCAGTAAATGGCATTGCCATCCACCAAATCTTCAAGCCCAAAGCCTAGACCTTGAATCCCATCTTTCCCTTTCCCCCATATTCAATTTAATTAATCCTGGCTCTACTTCCAAAATACATCTCAGTCTTTCCCCAGGCAACATATTCCCCATTACCCTCACTTCTCTAGTCCAGGAATTGGCAAACTTTTCCTGCAAAAGCCAGAGAGTAAACATTTTCAGTCCAGAGGGCCATGAAATCTCTGCTACAGTCACTCAAACTCACCTTTAGTATAAAAACAGCCATAGGCAATATGTAAGTTTGGGCATGTCTATGTCCCAGTAAAACTTTGTTTGAGAAAAGCAGTTGCTCCCAGGTTCAAGTTTGCCAACCCTTTTTTTTCAAGGCTAACCCCCAGTTGTGTCTGTCTGGACCACAGGAAACCCTCCAAACTGGTCTCCCTGCTTCCACTCTCCACATGGCAGCCGAAGGGATATTTTAAAAAGTAATCAGGCAGTTACAGTCATGTTCTCTGAGTTCCTGTGTCCCTGCCAGCACTACATGGATGACCTCCCAGAACCATGACCCAACTGCCACTGGTGAAGGAGCCTAGCCCAGTGTAGGTGACACCTGGGGCCTGGTGGGCAAGAGTTTACAGCAGGAACTAGTGACCCTCAGCAGATCTGATGACAAAGGAATTTCTGCCTTCCCCGAATCAGACGACCTTTCAAATAGGTAGAGACCATTCATTCAGCAGTTGGCTCAGTATATGAAGACCTGAGGTATAAATTCCCCCTAGGCTTCCTAGACAATGAACCCTTGGTGAAGTTTCTCACACCCCAGTGTAGACACCCAGGGTGACATCTGTCTAGATGTCCTGAAGAACAAGTGATCTGCCCTGCAGGATGTCAAGACCATCCTTCCCTCCATCCACAGCCTGCTAGGAAAACCCAACATCGACAACCGATTGAACATACATCCTGTAGAGCTCTGGAAAAACTCTGCTGCACTGAAGAAATACCTGCAAGAAACCTATGCAAAGCAGGTCTCCAGCCAGGGAACCTGACTCTGCTGTTCAGCCTCTCTCTTGGTGCCACCTTTTATTTCCTCCTTAGATGGTCTGTCCTTGCCTTGATTTCTGTATAGAGCTCTGTGTCTTCAACTGTGCTGTCTTCAACTTGTTCTGTTTCTGCTTAAATTAAGTCTCTGGTTGAGCCCCCACGATGAATATATTAAATAAATACATTTTGTTTTCTTTAAAATAAATAAATAAATAGTGATCAGATGGTGTCTCTCCTTGGCTTAAAATTGTCCAGTAGTTTCCCCATTGCCCTTACATGAAATTCCAAAGTCTTGCCCTGTTGTCTCTTTGCTTTCCATGACCTAGCTCTGACCTGGCCTCCTAGCCACTCCTGTCCACAGTGCTCCACAATGACAGTTTCTTTTCCGCTCAGCCCTCTTCACAGTTTGGCTGGAACATTCTTTCCCTAGTCTCCTGTGTCCAGGTCCTTTTCATCATTCAGCTTCTGACTCTAATACCTCCTCCCCAAAGAGAACCCCTGACATCTATCACTGCTGCCCCCCTTTCTAGTACCCCATTTGAAACTCTTATTTGTTGTTTGTTTAATGTGTGTCTTCCCAACCTGATAGGTAAGCTCCATGAGTGCAGGGACCTCATTTGTCTCTTCAGCACTAAATATTGTCTATGGCAGCATTATTTGAATAAGTCCTCAGATCTTCACTCAGTGAATGGAGAGAGGCTACTGATCAGTATGTCAGGTAATGCATGTTCCAACATCTGCTCACCTCAGCTTTCTCCAGCTTCTACTAAGCCCTTCTCATACTGGCCTGGAAAAGGCTTGCCCAGTAGTTTATCATACTCAGTGCATATGATAAAGTCCCAAAAATGCTGCTTGTCTGAATCATTGTGTTTGTCCAAGGACCCCTGTGCAAATTTATTGGTCATCCTAAGGCCCAGCCAAGAGAAAGGCTGCTCTTCCAACAGCTGGACCCCACGTGGGGCCTCTTTATCAACAGCTGTGATGTTGCAGAGGGGAAGTGGAATGCTTGGTCCAATCCAGGAATCCTGCCTTCTATTCCTGGTGCTCTCCCTGATGTGTGATATAAGTTTACTCAAGCTTAATTGCTTTGTTACTGGTGTTCTCTCATTGTCCCACCCTTTCTCACCATCTCACTTTTTCAGGGGGCACAAAGACTACTCCCAGCCACCAAATACCCATTTCTTGCTCCTTCCTTGGTCATAGAACCCTGATTTTCTTTAAGGTGGCAGTGAACCCAACAAAAATACTGCTTTTGTCAGTCTGTTTTGCAGTTAGGGTTGGCCATATGATGATGTTCTAGCTAATGAGATAGAAACAGAAGCACAATGAAACTTCTAGGAAGGGTGATGTAAGGATGCTGACTCAGCAAGTGCTTAGTCTGCTTAGTTGGCCATAAAAATACCACAGTCTGGCCACTTAAACAACATAAAGTTATTTTCTTATAGTTCTGGAAGCTGGAAGTTCAAGATAAGGATACCAACCAACTCGGTTCTATGAGATAACTCATTCAGGTTTGCAGATGGCTGCCTTCTCACTGTACCTTCACTGGACTTATGGAGAGAAAAAAAGAAAAATATCTATTACTCTTCTTCTGTTTATAAGGCCTCAAATACAGTCAGATTAAGACCTCATTCTTATGACATAATTTAACCTTAGTTATCTCCTAAAAGCCCTATCTTCAAATAAACTTATATTGGGGATTGAGGCTTCAAAATATAAATTTTGGGGGGACACAATTTATTCCACAGTAGCTAGGCATTTACGTCATTTGGTCCTTCCCCTCCTTCCTTTTTTCTCCCATCTTGAATGCAGAGATGATGGCTGGAGTTTCAGCAGCTATCTTGGAATTTGTGGTAACCTTGAGAATAAGTGCCAGATGCTGAGGATGGAAGTATAGAAAGATGCAAAGAACCTAGGATGACTTTATGGAACCACTATATCATCACTGGAATGCTTATGTTAAGGTTTGCTTTATTTTAGAGTGATGGTTCTCAACCATGGGTACACATTGGAATAATCTGGGGAGTTTTGAAAAATATTGGTGCTTGGGTATCATCCCCCAGAAGTGCTAATGTAATTTGTCTCTTGGTAGCCTAGGCTTCATAATTAAAAAAAAATCTCCTCTGGTTGTTTCTAATATGTTAACATTGAGAACACTGTTGTAAAGAATAAATTCTCATGTAAGAGAGTAAACTATGTTTTGAACTACAGTATTTTAGTTTTGTCATAGGAGACAAACACAACTCCTAACAATCAGAAATCTAATTTTGGGAGATTACTTCCATCTTCTAAGATTTATGGAGCAGGGATCATCAAAAGCCAACAGGAATCCTGGTCATATCCTACCATGTTCAAGAGTATGTACAGGTATATCTCAATTAAGCTGGACAGTGAAAAAGTTGTGGAATATTAACTATGATTTTTTTGTCCCTTTACCCACATAAATCGAATGGTGTGTATAACTAAAATAAATTTCAGGATTAAAATTCAAATTTAAACTAGTCATATATGGCATTTTTGTCAATAAGTATATTTCTGAAAGTGAAATCCTTTGGTAAGGATCATTAGAGGCCAATGAACTCTTCCTTTGTATGATCCCAGTGTCCTTCCCTGTCCCCAGCCCAAATGAGAAAAGATCAAGGACAGAAGCTACTGCCAGTTAGTGAGAGAGCTGGCTTAAATATGCAAGAGCCTGGGTTCGAATTCCAGCTCTATCACTTCGAAGCTGAGAGCTCTTGGGCAAGCTGTTTAACCTCCCAGTGTTTCAAATGTCCCTGTGTGCAAAGTGAGGATCATGATTCCACCCAGAACCCAGAACTATAGTGAGGACTACACAGTTATGAGAAAGCACTTAGCATCATGCCTGACGTGTAGTAACTGCTCAGGACACATCAGCGTCCCTCTTTGGTGTGGCCAGCAGCTCGTCCTGGCTGTGTCCTCCCTGTGAGGTAGTAGGCTCTTCCCCTCCATTTCTGGAAAACAGTACTGAAATAAGGTGACCCTTATGGATAGGATGCCAAATGAGCAACACATGTTTGGAAACAAAGGCAATTCATATCTGAGGAGATACCATCTACTGGGTATAGGGATCAATGGGCTCAGAAGGTTCATAACAGTGCTCCAGAAAGACTGGCTGAGCAGTTATCATTTCTCAAAGGCAAGTGCCCTCAAAGATAACAGCAATCGAGAGCAAGGGTCAAGATATCCTGAAAGTTTGAGGCAGCAACAAAGAGGCCAGGCTTCTTCATTGGCTGCTCACCTCCAAACACTGAACTCTAAAGGAGGCTGATGAGCCAGCTGTTGAGTACATGCACTGTCCTTGGTAAATGTGGGGGCTGCAAGAGCAGAGCCTGTGGGAAGCACTTGCTGATGGGAACAGACCCGTGGCAAGCATGACTTCTGTGATTGAAAATGCACTGTGTAGGAAGGCAAGAGCAAATAAATCATTCTCTTTGGGAATGTCCATCTGTTATGTGTGTGGCCGGGAGCATTATTGCAAATAAGGGTGTCCAGGCCAGCACTTCAGGAAGTCGGTGGAGCTTTATATCCTCCTGGAACCTGTGGCAGAGCTCCTTACATAAACATAGACCCTGTGGTGCTGGCACACCAGTTCTGCAGCTCACTGACTGGATTAGTGCAGTCCATTTTCTACAGAAAGCCAGGCAATGGTGAG